GGACCCAGCAGATGATCCATTTGAGGTGGAATTACGACATTTTACCTTTTATTTGGCTTGCTGCTATGATTGGTGGAAGGAAGCGTCCAGTGTTCAGCAGAAGAAGGCCGCTCTGGTAGAGGCGCAACGGAGAAACCAGGTTTAGTGAAATTCTTACCTGGCTGGATTTTGGACTTCCTCTCGGTGTGTGATTCCTGGCCTGTTAGCCCCAGGCGTGCTGTCCCCCTGCCTCCCGGTTCCCAGCCTGACACCATACGTCTCGGCGTGTTACGTCTGGAGTCAACCTCTGCTTCTTCCCCAGTTCCTGCTCCTATCCAGGAGCCGTTCTCTGGAACTCGTCTGGCTTTTGGAGGTCCACGGAGCCTCCAAAAGGCTCCTAAGAGAGGGAGTCGCAAGTCCATAGCAGCCCGAGCCCCTAGAGCCATGGTTCCAGCCCCAGTTCTGGCCCCAGCGGCCATGGTTCCGGCCCCAGTCCTGGCCCCAGCAGCCATGGTTCCGGCCCCAGTTGCCATGGTTCCGGCCCTAGCAGCCATGGTTCCAGCCTCAGTCCTGGCCCCAGCAGCCATGGTTCCGGCCCCAGCAGCCAGGGTTCCGCCCTCCTCTAATCCCTTCTCTAGTCCCTTCTCTAGTCCCATCTCTAGTCCCCTCTCCAGTGCCTCCTCTAGTCCCTTCCCTAGTCCTTCCTCTAGTTCCTTCTCTAGTCCCTTCTCTAGTCCCTTCTTTAGTCACTTCTTTAGTCCCGTCTCTAGTCCCTTCTCTAGTCCCTTCTCTAGTCCCATCTCCCATCTCTAGTCCCCTCTCGAGCCCCCTCTCCAGTTTCCTTTCAAGTCCCCTCTCGAGTTCCCTCTCCAGTTTCCTCTCAAGTCCCCTCTCAAGTCTCCTCTCCAGTTCCCGCTCAAGTTCCCTCTCTCGAGTCCCCTCTCGAGCCCCCTCTCCAGTTTCCTCTCAAGTCCCTACTCAAGTGCCGTTGGAGGTTCCGCCGACTACTCTTCTGCCAGGGGTCCTGCCAACTCTATGTCCTGTGTCGTTGGAGGTCCCGCCGACTACTCTCCTACCTGGGGTCCTGCCAACCCTATGTCCTGTGCCGTTGGAGGTTCCGCTGGGGGTCCTGCCAGCTCCATGTCCTGTCCCGTTGGGGGTCCCGCCGACTACTCTTCCAATGGGGGTCCTGCCAATTCCATGTCCTGTCCCATTGGGGGTCCCGCCGACTACTCTTCTGCCGGGGGTCCTGCCAACCCTATGTCCTGTTCCGTTGGAGGTCCCGCTGAGAGTCCTGCCAATCCCATGTCTTGTTCCGTTGGAGGTCCCGCGGTCACCTGTCTCGCCGGGGGTCCTGCCACCTCCTGGTCCTCTTCCGTGGGGGATACTGCCGAAGCCTGTCCCACCGGCTCCGGTTCCTGTCCGGCCGACACCGGGTCCTGCCCAGCCTCCGGAGCTGTCCCGTCAGCGCCTTCCTGCCTGTCCTCCGGAGTTGTTCAGTCGCCGCCTGCTTCGCCCTCGAGCCTGGCCCCCTGAGAGCCGCGGTCGTCGCCTTCGTGCCCGGCCCCCTGAGTGCCGCGGTTTTCGCCCTGGAGCCCGGCCCCCGAGTTCGCCCGCTGTGGTATTCGCCCCTCCATGGACTCTGCCTTGCCCCCGGGCCTTCCGCCATGGACTCAGCATTGTTACTATTTTTTAATTTTCTTAATGAATTTGTCCATACATTACTTGCTTTGGCAATACTGTATGTCATTATGGTCATGCTAATAAAGCTATTTGAATTGATAAACGAATGCTTTCAATTCATTGTTGAATGTTAGTTTATCAAGGCCTAATTTTAGAACACAAATGTACTCAATGGTTACCTATAGAAGACGTCGTTCCTCAAAAGCATAAAGACGTACAGACCTTGTACAAAAAGTGTTTCCTTGAACATTTCAATAAGTATTGCTTAGTAATGATTCTTCTCTTTCTACTTGCCCCCCCTGTACAGAGTGCAAGTTCCACTGCATCAATGGGAATTGTTTGCGTTTGGGCTCGCTGATCTGCAACCAGCTGAATAACTGTGGGGACAACAGCGATGAGGAGAACTGCCCCGTGGTCACCCAGCACCCCCCCCCCCCCAAGCATCTTCAACTGTGAGTGATCCACCTTTCTCTCTGCTTTGTTATATGATGAGACATATGTGATACTGCAACACAACTCTCCATGGAGGAAAAAAAGACTACTAGGATTGTGTGTTATTAGTTGGGTGGGTAGAAGGGGGTATCATGCAACCCCCTGAAATATACTTTTAATCAGCTTTTCTAGATTGAAAAAATTGTGTAGAAAACGATTAGCTATGTTAAAAAGTTGAAAAATTGTCCCACGTATATTTTTTTCCCAAATTAGTGTTTATTTACCCTAACAATCAAGTTTCACTCTTTTTACACCTTTCACTATATCTCAGCCATTATTGCAGATAACTGAACAAATAAGGTATCCAGATCCATATTTTGACGGTCAAGGAACACAATACAACTATTCTTAAAGTGATCACATGTGTGTCTGGCATGCTATTATGCCAATTAGTGCCGCCATTACAAGAAAATAGCATTTTAGTCTTGTACCAAGAACGATGTATTTTGCACCGACACAGAAATATTCTTATAATCAGTGTTTCCTAAGTGGAAAAAGTATGTAGAAAATGATGAGCTATGTTAAGATGTTGTCTGGATGTCCCACATGTATTTTTTATGCAAATTAGTGTCACAATTGCCAAAAACGGAATTTTCACACTTTTCACTCTATCTCAGCCAATATTGCAGATAAATGAACAAATAATGTGTCTAGACCAGGGGTGCCCAACCTTTTTTGAACCGAGAGCTACTTTTAAAGTTGCCAGTCTGCCGAGATCTACCAGTCCAAATAGAGAGGCGTAGCCATTACTGACAGCCTACTACCAGGTAAATACACACTTCTTCTTGTATAAATCTGACCTTTGTACGATTAATACTCCATAACATACTGCAGATCCTTTATTTTACCTCTTTCTAATCTACACACATACAAGTATTTAACTGAAGTTACACAACAGTGTTGTTGATACAGAGTTGGAGTTTATTCACACGTCACTACAGTGGGTAATGTTTTCAAGAAACATTGAACAGTGCTGCCACATATGACACAGAAAGAAAGAAAAGACTCTGAACCCTTTCTTTGTCCTTATATAAAATTAGTGTTGCTACAAAAGTATAAATTAGGCTTACTAATAAGACAACTCAGATCTGAATCTACACAGGAATCTGCTGCAACAGTGCAATAAAAAAGACTAAATTAATAGAATCAAACCCTTTTTTTGTTGCATTTTAGTAGAGTATAAAAATAAATACCTTTAAAATAGGATGCAAGCAACACTAGTTTCTTAACCTGAATTGATAGATTATAATCAATTTAAGTTTGCATTATTATACCATTTTGTACAATAATTATAATGAATAAGTTCAAACAAACTCAAACTTACAGCTGATTAATAACGGTATCTAACTTGAGTTTTTATCATATCAAAAACCTGTTGAAATGCTACTGTTATTTTTATTACGCATCGGCAGCCTCCAGGAATGCTTCTTTCACAACTTCGCCATCTTTGAAAGACTTCATGTGTTTCGCAAGAACGTGCGTGACACGATAAGATGCTATGGTAGCAGCCTTGCTCTTGTTGTTGGGCCTGGTGAAAATGGACTGCTGTGCATTTAGCTGTCCTTTCAGGCCCCTCCCCTTTTGGAGCGTAGGGCAGAATTAGGAGGGAATTCCGTCTCGTAGCGTTTGTGCACTGTTTTGAAATGCCGCTCCTAAATTACCCTTCTTCGATAAAGCCACGCTCGCATTGCAGATGAGACAGATGGACTTTGAATTGGAATAGATACAAACATAATCATCCTCCCACTCGGAGAGAGAATTATATATGTTTTGCTTGTGTGCGGACCAGACCCGGCGGCAGACATACGTCTCTGGGCGGGCATTTGATTCACCCCGAAACGTACATATCCCGGGAAATCTGAATTGTCAACGGGGGGAGGGCTGTTAGACGCTTCCCAACTTGGGAAAGCACGCAGGCAAACCTGAGGAGCGCACACAGGGTGGAGAGGTGGAGTGAGGTTGAGTCATGGAGAGAGAGAGCGATATTGAGCGAGGCAGAGAGCGTGTACAGCGGTCTGCTTGCGCACAGAGCCGGAGTTTATGAGAGAGCCGGCTTGAGAGTCAATTTCTCTTCAAAATATAATTGATTGCCAGCCTCCCTTGTCCCTGGCTGGCTTGCTAGCTCGTTGGTAACGTAACTGATGTCTTATAATGTGCCTGCATCTGGCGCTGAGTTGCCATATTCCTTTCATGAACCACTTCCTGATATCCATTGTTGCAGATAAATATAAATGATAATAGCCAAACTAACCTAGCAAGAGTAAACTGACAGGCTGCTGTGCCGCATCTCACTCAAAAACCCACACGACTCAACCCAGCGAAAAACCAGTCTCGCGCGCAGCCTTTCATTCAGAATTTCATAGCAAAATAAAAAAATGATATTAAACTAATCTTTCAACATAGTTTAAAACAAAAATAAATATTAGGACAAAGCCCTACAAATAACAATAAATATAATAATAAAACAATTAAAATGTTGTATTCAGCCCTGATTAAAACAGCGGGCCCAAATCCTGGATGGGCGGGCCCGGCCCCATGGGGCCCGCCCATGACGCCGGGTCTGGTGCGGATGTCACTCCTGTTGACACGGACAACATTAGCGAACTAGTGCACTGCCCACTGCCCACCAGCCGCGCCCCGACAAGTCACGCCGGCCAATCACAAAGCTTTGATGCGTTCAAATGCATTATTCTGGCACAGGAAGATTATGTTATAGGACATTAACGATAAAACAGAATATTGTTGTTCTATTTTTAGACACATCTCGCGATCGACTGGGAATCTCCCCGCGATCGACCGGTCGATCGCGATCGACTGGTTGGGCACCCCTGGTCTAGACCCATGTTTTGATGGTCAAAGATCACAATAAAACTATTCCCAACGTGATCACATGTATCTGTGACATGCTATGCAAATTAAGAGATGCCAATATTGCAGTACAGTAAGTGAACACATAAGGTGTCTAGACAGATGTTGTGTATTTAACCAATATGTATTTGTTTTGTACTAGCCTACAGCAAGGGTCAAACATCATAATATAAGTATTGATGTGACTACTCTTTCCCATTCCAGATAAGCAGTCAAGGTTTGGCTCTCCACTATCTGATTAATACTCAATCATCATTTTCAATGCTATCATCAGAGTCAAATTCCTCTTCCTCTTCCTCCTCATCTTCCTGTTCACGCTCTGTCGTGTCCAGGAGATCAACCAGGGAGGTTGGCAGGACAGGACCACAGGACCATACCGGTCTCAACACTCCATCAGTCCTCATCCATCCCTGCTCCTCATCATAGAGGATTGGTTTTTCTAAAATTGATTCATCAGCTCGCATGTACAGGGCGACGCGATGGTTCACACGTTGGACGTGCGGCTTCAGAGCATCATAGCATGGAGGAAGGCGAGCCAGGTCAACCTTAGACTTGGCAGTGAGTTTATCGTCCTGCCCCACCATTTTGCGCAGCAACTTGGCACGGACTACGTCCACTGAAGACTCACGACTCTCTCCATATAAAGGACAGGTGAATTGCTCCAACTGCTTCAGCACCTCAGGCTTGACATTCCAGTTGTCACCGAGTTGACTGAACGCCCTGTGAAACTTCGGGTTCTTCTCCTGCTTTTTCAAGGGCCCCACCTTCCCCTTCCCTTTGAAGGCACTGGTGCAGTCTTCTCCGCTGAACACATGGAATCCAAGAAGTGTGGCACAGTAGTCTTCTCCCAGGGATTCTGCAAGCTCAGAGAGGTTGAGAAGTTGTCTATGTTTCCCTGACCCCGTATCCAGGTATATAGTCAGCCTGATGGCATGAGCGTGGTAAAGAAGAATCACAAAGATATCTGAGTCAGGTGTTCTGACCACAGCATTCTTGTACCCAAGGGCAGCAGCATGATGAAGGTAGAGTACCACCCTTGTATCAGTCTCTTCCTGGTTGCTGTAGATTGTGGGGAGCTCACTTACCTCAACCTGATACACAATGGGACATTGCACTTTGATTAACAATGACAGAGACTAGACACAAATCACAGATAATCACTTAGAGTATAATTAAACCATCAATCACTTTTAATATAGGTTGTGTCTTCCTGGTCGAATGTACTTATTGTAAGTCGCTTTGGATAAAAGCGTCAGCTAAATGCAATGTAATGTAATGTAATGTAATATGGGCTTTCAATTTACCTTGCCATTTGAGGAGAGAAGTTGATGGGCTCTCCCTTCCACGACCAGCACTGCCATTTCTGTTCTTTCCAGCCTTGAAGCTGCCTGTTGATCACTCCATACACGCAGCAGGAGCTGGCAGAGTTGCTTTTTCTTGTCATCATTTGTGAGAAACATCTTGAAGTCATATGGCTTCCTGGTTGCTGGTCCAGCCAAAATGATCTTCTCTGAACTGCCACGTCTCAAGCTCTCCTGTGCTTTGATAGATCCTGGATGGTAACTGTCAGTCGAGAACAAAAAGTGCTTTTTGGCCACCATCTGATCAAGCACTTGTAGGCATATCTCCCCACAGGTTGGAGGAAGGTTGGTGAGGACATGGAGCAGAGCCATGCCATCCTGAATGAACAGGGCATCCTTAGGGTATGGCAGATCCTTTGGGGTGGTGTCCGCCAGAATGTAAAGAAAGGGTCCAATCATAACCACATGACGGACAAATGTATCTGGCCAACACCAGATGATGGGTAGGGCTTTCATACAGACACCAAAATCAAATGTATTCAGGACCCACCTCTGATCCACCTGATCAGTGTATAGCTCAGAACGCTTCAGTAGCTCACAAACAACTGTATTGTCAGTGATTGGTTGATGGATGGGCGTGAAGTAGTCCACTGTTGATTTTATGAGTGGAGGAGTACCAGTTGCAGAGGTGAAGCCTCCAAGTCCAGGCACAGGCTGCTTTCCATTGCTTCCGATGTACCTGATAAAGAGCCAGATTTAGTACACTTGCATCTCAGTTGCATAGACTGTGTCATTCTCTGCTGGCGGTGTGAATGATGAGCCATCATTAAACTTTGGGTCGGCGCGAGTGAAGTGCAAGGGTGGGAGTGTTTCTGGTGTGTTGACTTTCAGGCTACGCTGTTGCGACTTGTCGATGACGGGTAGCATTTGGACCTTGTTGCTCTCAAACCCAGGCTTGACCACCTGGACCATGATTCCCCCAGCACTGTTGACAATGTTGCTGCCGTGCACACTGGGCGTGGTTTTATTCAAATTGTCCCACTCACAGTGGAATACCATGTTTCCCTCTCCTATCACAATTGCGGGTGTCCGATAGGATGAGACTTTGTCCAGGACCTTTGCCAGGGCAGTTTCCAACTCCAAACCAAATCCATAGCTCTCAGAGTGGCCAAGCCTGTGTAATATTGTGGTGAGCTGCTTGCTTCTGAACAAGTGCCTGACAGTCACACAGAGTATAATGTGTTTTGGTAACTTCCATTCTCCCTCTGACACTGCACGGCACAGTTCTTGCCCAATGGAGAATACCAGGCGCTTCATCTTTTCATTCGTCTCCATGTCTTCCTTGCCAGCCATAACCATGCTGAGAAACCGGACGAGGTCTATGGGTAGGAGGTTTTCAGGAGTGAGCTCCATGTTGTCAGCTGTTGGCGGCCACTTTAGGTCTTTGGACTCTCTGAAAGCCTGCAGAATATTCTGGCGGAGTAGGAGAGCAACGTTTTTGTACTTGTCTGTGGTTCCGAGAGTGTAAGCTCGTGCAACGGCATTCGATACCGTGATTTTCAAGCTGTACACCAGCCAGAAAGAAATGGCATCAGCATTGTCGTGGTCAACTCTCGTAAACTGGATATGCTCCTAGATTGGATCTTTCTGTAGCCGTTTCAGGAGTTTCTCTGAGCCATAATTTGTGTTCTCGTACCCATTCAATTTCAGCTCTTCCACATACAGCAAGCGCAAGGAAGATAGCTGTAGGACCTCAATTTGCTGGACTACATGAGTTCCAATGTGTTCCAGTATTGAAACAAATGCCTTTTCATGGGAGGCTGACATGAAAGCTTGGTTAGTATCCTTAGCTCCTGCTTTAAGAATACTGCTACGCTCGTAGTTGGCTAATGCTGTGCGTAAAGATTTAAAGCACGACTGATGGTGGTTAGCCTCACAAGCAAAGAGGTCTTTGCCCTTCACTTGTCTTTGAAGTCAAACTAGACCCATATTCTCAGCCCGTGATTCTATTTTCTCCCATGCATTTTCTTTGTTCTTATAAGATGGGAAGTATTCAGGTCTCTCAGTTTTACAATGACCATCTTTGTTCTAAACTTTGTCGCAACTAACTAATTTTAGTTCGGGTTTTTTTTAGTGTGAACGCCTAAAGACACCCTGTTATACAATCAGAACTTTTGAAAATTATAAAAGATGTTCTGAGAGCAGCCATCATGTTCCACAGTTTAACCTGTTAAGCCCTGGGCCTATTTTTCAGGCCTCAGGCTCGAAAATGACATGCCCAGAATGAATGATTATATCTTCACAACTAAAAGAGGTATATAAATAATATTTTTTATCAAAGCAATGATACAATAAAGAAATCTATCACTACACAACATATTTTTAAAAAATGAATGCCATTTTAGTTTTTTGTTACTTTGTTCTGAAAGCTGAACCTGCTGCTCCTCACAGAGAGAAGAGGGAAGAGGCTGTGAATTACTTTACATTGTGGATAAGGGTGGATAGCCCCCATTGTTCTGTGTGTCAAAATGAAAGACAGCCCACACATGCAACTAGACATGAGTCTAGTTGAGTTAGCTACTTACCTTGTGTGTTTGAAGGTTGAATGTGTGTGTGTAGCCAAGTTAGCTACTTGTTTGTTTTTGGTGGGAAAATGTTTTCACTACTGCCAGAGCTGTATGCCACAGATACATGTGATCACTTTGGGAATAGTATTATTGTGATCTTTGACCATCAAAACATGGATCTGGATACCTTATTTATTCAGTTATCTGCAATAATGGCTGAGATATAGTGAAAGGTGTGAACATTCAGTTTTTGGTAATGGTGACACTAATTTGCATAAACAATACATGTGGGACATCCAGACAACATTTTAACATAGCTCATCATTTTCTACATACTTTTTCCACTTAGGAAACACTGATTATAAGAATATTTCTGTGTCTGTGCAAAATACATCGTTCTTGGTACAAGACTAAAATGCTATTTTCTTGTAATGGCGGCACTAATTAGCATAATAGCATGCCACAGACACATGTGATCACTTTAAGAATAGTTTTATTGTGTTCCTTGACCGTCAAAACATGGATCTGGATACATACCTTATTTGTTCAGTTATCTGCAATAATGGCTGAGATATAGTGAAAGGTGTAAAAAGAGTGAAACTTGATTTTTAGGGTACATAAATACTAATTTGGGAAAAAAATATATGTGGGACAATTTTTCAACTTTTTAACATAGCTAATCGTTTTCTACACAATTTTTCCAATCTAGAAAAGCTGATTAAAAGTATATTTCAGGGGGGTGCATGATATCCCCTTCTACCCACTAGACCAGGGATCACCAACTACATTTGTCCAAGGGCCAAAATGTATCCAATAGACACTATCGCAGGCCAGCGATTTTTATATAGCCCAGAATTTTGAAGTGGGGGGTGCTAGTGGAGCACGCTCAGGTACTGTGGACCGCATAAAGCTAACGAAGGATCACTTCTAGGCAGGGTTGGGAGGGTTACTTTGTAATTGTAATCAGTTACTGAATACATGCTCTGAAGGTAATCAGAATACAGTTACAGTTACGTGTCTTAAAAATGTATTCAGATTACTTTTAGAATACTTTTGGATTACTTTCTTTTTCCATAACAGATGGGTATGTTTTGGTGAACAGGAGACACTTATTTTACTGTTTTAATATGGAGCTATTTCAGGGTCATAAGTTTTGATCATTCAAAAAAATACAATTTATTTGAAAGTCCAAGTTTTCATCCTGAACTTTGAAAAATACAATGTTGTATTCAAAACAAAAAAAAGTATTTGAAATCATTTTTCAGGTTGAATATTATTTTGATTCAGTTCAGCAATTTTTTGGAATAAAATATTCATATTTCACTTTTATACATATTTTGATATTTGAATATTTTTTTTTTTCAGTTTCAGATTTTATTTTTTCAGTTTCAAATTTTTTTTTTTCGCTTTCAGATTTGTTTTGTTCGCCTTAGATCGTTTTTCACTTTCAGATCTTTTTTTTTCGCTTTGAGACTATTGACCCTGATATTGCTTCGGGGGGCGGGGCTTACCAAAGAGTAGTTTGGTACCCTGAGTGACAGCCCTCCCTCTGTCATGATGCCTTCGTGGATTTTAGGTAGCGCAAGAAATACAACTACACACTTTCTATACACGATACTCCCATGATTGGTGGTAAACAAAACTGATACCAGCCTCAAAGTTCCGTTAAGCGAGCTGTTGAGCATCGTAGTTGGCAAACATTGCTGTATAAGAGCAATAAACTGTGCTAGAATGTGAAATTACGTATCCGCAATGAAGCGTTGTCCTTCCCCACTTCCACGTAGCTCCTTGAACGCAGCATAGTATTGGCTTGGCTTTTGTGATGGCGTCAGGTCCACCTGCTGGCTCCATGGCTGGCACCAGCGCACAGGTAAGAAATATTAACTTTTTTCCATTCATGGTCTTAGATGTTATCCAAGAGCATGATTATAATATTATAGCGACATACATAAAAGGAAGGCAGGCCTTTTGAGGTGGGGAATGAATGTGGCAATGCGGGAAACTAATCATGGCATTGAGGCTACTCATGTAGGCTATGCTATTAGCTATAGTCAGTAGGGCTGTGCAATTAATTGTATTTTAATCGCGATTACGATTTTGGCTTGCAACGATTACGAAACAACAACATCCGGTTTCACTCCGAGTGGTCGCATTTTCGAGAGCTCCCGCTTTGGCGGTTATTCCTCACGATTTTTTACATATTTCATCCTCCTGACAATATGGATTATGGACTCCTACCTCAACTCATCAATGAGGCAACATCACTTAGAGAAGGAGAGTAATGAAAGAGGGGATAAAATGAACCACAATGACTTTTACCTTCTCAACGGCTGGGAAAGGAAACACCTCGCTTTTGGAAGTGCAAGCATTCATGCCTTATTAACTTCAAACCCGACACGAAAGTACTTACCCCCGTCAGGCAAACTAGACCGAAGAAGTATGATCGTCTTGGTCTTATTGTTAGCGGGAGACATCCATCTGAATCCGGGCCCGGTGCAGACAAGAAGCCAGTCCTGCAGGCTCGAGGGGCTAGCATCTCAATTAGCATCAGAACTAGCATCTCTTCCGCTGCAACAACAACTACGCGACGACAACAGAGACCGTGGAGACAGCGGAGACCAAGGAATAAACGGATACTTCGACATTCCCCCGGGGACGCCTCGGCAGACAGACACGCATGAGGCAGTGACGAGAGGAAGAGAACCGAGATCCGAGGGAACACATATCCGCCATGTTGTTAGCCATGTTGTTAGCCACCCTGCTAGCATATCAACGGCTAAAGCTACAACGGAGCCTCCCTCCCCCCCCCACCACCACCACCACCCCACCACGACAAGCCGGTTGCTATAACGGACAAAGACAAATATCTGCAAGCTGACGACATTGTGCATTTAAGCAACAAAAATGGACTACATATTTTTCATCTGAACACTAACAGCCTGAGACACAAACTGGCTGAACTCAGGCAGCTATTCATGAACGGTAAGGCAAGCATATTATGCTTTTCTGAGACCAAATTGGACAATTCCATTACAGATTCAGAGATTGAAATTGAAGATTATCTTGTAGTGAGAAGGGACAGGAACGTGAATGGAGGTGGTGTCTGCATGTACATACATAAAGACACCAATTTCAAAAACCGTACTGACCTGCATCATGAAAATATTAAATCTGTGTGGGTTGAAATTCTTTTTGACAATGCTAAATCTGTAATAGTCGGGACAATCTATAGACCACCGGAACAGAGTGACTTTTATGATACATTAGATGGGTGTTTAGCTGATGTGGGGGATGTAGAGACAATTATTATTGGAGACTGGAACACGGATATGCAACGTAAAGACACGTCCGTCTTCAAGTCCTTCAGTAGGATTTGTGATCTGCACGGCTTCAGCCAGCTAATCACCCAACCCACCCGGGTATGTGAAACAACACAAACTACCATTGATCTCATTCTGACCTCTGACAAGTCCAGGATCTCCAGTAAAGGGGTTATAGCATGCGGTTTAAGTGATCATTATATGATATTCTGTACCCACAAAAAGCTAAAACAAAGGGCCGGCTGTCACAAAACAGTCATATCTAGAGACCTCAAAAACTACTCTAGCGAGGCCTTTAACCTAGAACTGGAGAGCCTGGACTGGTCAGATGAGCTCAGTGGTACACAAGTTGAAGAAACATGGCTTGGTTTCAAAAACAAATTCTCTGCAATACTCAATGATTTGGCCCCCCTAAGAACAACCAGGGTAAAAAATCGCGCTGAGCCGTGGATGCACTCCGGCATACTGACCGCCATGAAAACCAGAGACAAAAAATGCTCTGAGTTTCATAAAAGTCAGTCAATGCTTTCCAAAAGCACGAGCAGTGAACTCCAGGCCCACGTGACTGAACTCAAAATTGAAAGAAACAGACTAAGAAATGACGTAAGCTCCATGATCAAAACTGCCAAAAATAATTTCATCAATGTCAAAACTGAGGAAAACAAAAATAAACCCCGTGAACTTTGGAAATTACTCAATAACCAGCTTGGCTGCAGTAAAAAACTCAAAACGAGATTTTCTAACTTAAACATAAAGACAGATAACAGGCTCATCACAGACAAACTGGATGTGGCCAAGTACTTGAACATTTTTTTCACAAACATAGCCACAACTCTTGTAAATAAATTACCCTCTCACTCAGGGCTTTTTGGAGTAGATCACATCATGACCTACTACAAAAACCTAGGGGTACGCAAAGATGATTTCAGTCTAGCAAGGGTAACAACAGCAGAGGTACTCATTAAACTGAGCGCCCTCCAACCTAACAAGGCCACTGGCCACGACAATATCCCCTCCAAATTCCTCAGAGACACAGCAACAGCCATCTCACCAGTCATAGCTCACATAATTAACCTCTCCATAAAACAGGGAAAAGTACCCAAAGACTTCAAAATTGCAAGAGTAACCCCCCTGCACAAAAAGGGCAGCAAATTGGACCCAGGCAACTACCGCCCTGTTTCTATACTTACCTCCATCTCGAAAGTCATGGAAAAAATAGTATATGAACAGGTCGAAAAGTACCTCGCGGAAAATAAACTAATCTATGAATTTCAATCTGGCTTTAGAACATCCCACTCCACTGACACATGCCTTCTTTATTTGAGCGACCACATCAAACAAGAGGTGGACGAGGGCAAGTACTGCGGCATGGTGATGCTGGACCTACAAAAGGCTTTCGACACTGTCAATCACCCCATTCTGATTGACAA